ATAATTTATCATGCATTCAAATTCATAAAATACTTAAGTGACCTGTGCTGATAATATTATCAGATTAATATTTTTAACTACTACATATGCTTAAATATTTTAAATAAAATGATACAGTATCCATATCATCATTTGCTTCAAAATAATCCATTTCATGAGGAAGAGCATACATTAGAAAAAGGTTGGCCGAGATGGCTCTTGGGGGTATAAAGTTTTATCATATTGCTTTCTTCGATGGTATATTTGAAAACTTCCATTATAATGTATTTAACAACAACAAAAACTGGAAGAATATTGCATTCAGGCGAACAGTCAAGAGAATTCATAGGAGGGAATACAGTCCATAGGAGATGGCCAATAAACTGAAGGGAAAAAAAGAGTGTTAAAGGACTGGAGGATGGTCTTGTCTTCTTGAAGCCAAAGAGTAGGTACGGTGTAAGGGAGTGAGAATACAAACGCCAATGTAGATTGTGCAGGGTTCAGGGATGCCACAGAAGTGATGTCTTACTACACAGGGTTGAGGAAGGCAGGACACTGAGACAGAGTATGTCTGGGTCATCGCCGGCTGTGGAAAGCATGTAAGGCAATGGTAGTACGAATTGGGTGGAAAATTCCACGAGCCACAAGCCCAGGTCCTCATTAAAGTAGACGAGTGATAGACATTTATCTTCTTAGAGGAAGATAAGACAGGGCAGAGGGTGTATATCCAGAACACTATGAGTGATACCAACTCTAGAGTGTGCCCTTTTCTAAGTAGTGATTTCAAGCTACTGTTTTTAGTGTTGTCAATTATCCGATACAAGTTAGACTACAGTGATTTTTATGAGGGTTGCTGCAAGCCTGTCTGTGACACAAGGTGGTCATTTCTCTCATAACTTAAAGCATTTCTGCTTTCTTCCAAAACTGAAATGAAGAGCAATGATTTCAGACATTTAATCATCAAAGAAGAGGGCTTTAGCTACACTGTGGTTAAGGACTGGTATGTCATTCTTTCTAGTCTTTAGGAAATAGAAGTGGGAAGGAAATTGTCACCACATTTCAAAAGATACATCTTTTCCTTTACTTACAAAAAATTATCCCAAAATTTCAGTATAATTTTTTCAAGCAAAGAATTATTTTCTTTTTGAAGTATATTTTTCCAGAAGGAAGTACATGTTTGTACTCAATTATCTCCATTGTTTATTTCTAGATCCTCAAAGAATGGTTTGAAATGCATAAATAGATCTTAATAACTGTTATGAGACATTCCTGTTATAAAAATTGTGTAAAACAAAGTTTAGCATATCTTTTAAATGACAACTGTAAATTGTGACTTTATAACGTTCCCAGAGCAATTTCCTCATAAGAAAGTTAACTTACTTTCTTATCTTTTGTGCACAACTGACAACTCTTCTTTATAGCACATCCTACAAGAAAAAAATATTAAATACAAAATAAATTCAAATACTTTTTATTGCTCAATTTTATGTAAAAGTGCATTTCATTTAGTCATTTCTGTTTTAAGCCATATTCATCCATACTCCAGCATTTTACTTCATTATTTTCGTGTATCTAGACATTTCTTCCACCTGTACTATATAAATCTTCTTAATCTTTTCTCCTATTTCTTGGAAAAATATGAAATGGCATCATACAACTTTTATGAGCCAAGTTCTAAAAAAACAACCCCCAAAACACAGTAAGGAAAAACAAATTGGCAACACCATTGTATTTTAAAATATCATGTGTTGTTATTCAGGATAGTATTGCCAAGATATTCCTACTTAACTAATTAACCCTTTAAGAATTAAAAAAAAAAAAAAAAAAAAGGAATTCCCCATCTGTTTTTGCCACAAAGCTTTCAAAACTTCTCCAAAATGAGAATTTTTATTCCTCTTGTTTTATGGAAAAACAAACAGTATGATTTATATTTGAAAATTCTAGAATAAAAACTCAGAATTTGGAAAAAAATTTCAATGGCTTATTTTATTACTACAACATCTTCTTAAACAAAGGGTCTAGAATTAATGTCTTAGTTGTTTTGTGATAGAGCAACAATAAAGTCACTCTCTCTATTATTTTGGGGACAGAGTTCATAGGCTCTGTGGGAAAGGTCAGACCTTTCTATTTAATTTCAAATTGTTTGATTGGATGCAGATCTGATTGGGCTGGGGAAAAAATTTTACAGTTCAGCTTTCAAATTCAAACCTATTGAATGTTCCCTCCTCCTAGCTGAAAGTATCCTTGAAATACCCATGGGAAAGTTGAGTGAAAGAAAAGGCAAGGTGAATGGGAAAGATTCTGCTGCCTCAGCTGTGTGAAGAACAGCTGGCCTCAGGCTCCTTTTGGGAGGCAGAAGCAGGGAAACAGAGGACACATGACTTGGCCACTGTTCTCCGAGCCCTACGTGCTTCCCACAGCTTTTTTGTAAACTAAATTTTTTATTTTGGAATAATTTCAGATGTACAGAAAAATTGTGAAGAGTCTACAGGGAGTTCCTGTATATCCTTCACCCAGTTCCCCTATTGCTAATACCTTACACTACCATGGTACATTTATTGAAAGTAAGAAACTAACACTGGCACATGACTTTTAACTACACTCCAGATTTTATCAGGATTTCGCCAGTCTTTACACTAATGTCCTTTTCCTGTTCCAAGATCCCATCCAGAATACCACATTGCCTGCAACAATGTCTCACTCTTGCCTTGTTTTTCATGACCTTGACAGTTTTGAGGACTGCTATCCTCAGTACTTTCATATATTTTGTAGACTGCCCCTCAACAAGGATGTGTCTGATGCTTTTCTCAAGATTAGAGGGGGATGAGTTTTGGTGAAGAGCACTGTAGAGAGGAAGTTCCCTCCTCAACACATTATGTCAGTAAATGGCCTGCTCTGGTTACATAGTAGAGGTTTAGATGGAACATTTGTATACATAACCAGTCATCTCTTTAATACTCATTTTTGCCCTTATTGGAAAACTAATGATGTTACAGCTGACCTATGTGCTACATGAATCAGTAGGCTCTTTTTTTCCTGTTCTATTCCTGAAGAAAGAGGTTCTAGCTATTTCCATGGCTTTATCAGGTACCAGATTATTTCACCCTAAAGCCCTGAGGTTTGATTATATGTTTTCTGTCTGGTTACTTATTTGCTCTTGATTACATTTTTCATGACTTCTGCATCATTTCTCCTAGTTCTCTTAGAACATCTCTGGCTATTCTTTTTCAGTTTCTTCAACTAGTTCCACTTCTACCAATGTCTGAAATGTTGCTATTCCATAAAGTTCCACCTATGATCCTCTTCTCCCATGAAGGATCACAATTTCAAATGCCTGGCATCAAAATATATTATGCCAAATATCAAAACAAAACTTTTTATTGGTACTATAATAAATTTATAATACAAAAATAAAGTTTATCTGCAAGGAAAACTTTTTCAAGAACTGCTAAGAGAAAAAAACAATGAGGAGTATATGAAAATAATAAGATTTTATATATTAAAATTCTTCTTATCTTTTATTTACCTAATACATCTATTTTAAAACTGTTAGGTGAATAAAAGTTTGGAATATGCAGTATTATGAATCTTGGAAATTAAAAATATAATCAGCATAAACATAGCTAAAGAGTGAATTAGCAAGTTCAATAATTGAGCCATTACAAAGGTAGTTCAAAAGAACAGGAGATAGAGAGTCTGTAGAGAGTCTGTACACAGTACCTTGGTGTACTGTACTATATGTCAATATGGAATATCACTTTTTCTTTGACTTAATGATTTTTTTGACTTGAATTCTATTTTGCATAATATTGCTACACTTGCTTTCATTTTCAATAGCATTTGCAAGGCATATCCTATTCCATCAATTTATTCTTTATTCCTTTATTTCCTCTAGTGGTCTCAAAATACGCATTCTATTTCTATTCTTGAGCTGTTGCTTTAAAAATTTGGGGCGATATTTTATATGCATCTTTCTATCATTATTTAATCAGGATCTACCGTCTCAACTTACACAAAGATCCTAATATGTTCTTACTCTTCTCTTTCTCCCCATACCACTTCCCAGTTAAATAATTTTAACTATTTAATAGCAGTTAAGCTTCCATATGATTTCTATATCATATGGATTTCAGAAATCAGATAGAATTTTAACTGCTATTAAAGTTATTAATGATTATTAGACATTTAAATTGCTGTTGACCTACAATAAATCATTTAGAATTAATTTTTCATTTTACTAGTTTATTTGCTTACTACTCTTTCTTGAATCCCACTTTTTCCCCTTGGATTCATTTTTCATTTTGCTGGATTATATTCTTGAGTATTTTTTTAGATGTCTGTGAGTGATAAACTCTTTGACTCTTTAAGTGTCTAAATGTTTTTATTTTGTATACCGTCTAGAGCACAGCTGGCTTAGTCTGTTAATATGTTCTAGTTTCAACACCATTTTCTTCAAAACTTTAAAGATATATATATATATATATGATTATATATATATATTTATATATAAATATATATGTGATTATATATATTTATATAATATATATATATTATGATTATATATGTGTGTGTGTGTGTGTGTGTGTGTATATATATATATATATATATATATATATATACACATATGGAGTGTCTCTCTCTTGCCAGACTGGAGAGCAGTGGCACAATCTCAACCTCTGCCTCCTGGGTTCAAGCAATTCTCCTGCCTTAGCCTCCCAAGTAGCTGAGACTATAGGCACACATCAACATGCCCATCTAATTTTTATATTTTCATAGAGACCGGGTTTCACATCATATTGGCCAGGATGGTCTCAATCTCCTGACCTCGTGATTCACCTGCCTCAGCCTTCCAAAGTGCCAGGATTACAGGCATGAGCCACCACGCCCAGCCCAAAGATATTTTTCTGTAGATTTTTCTTTCATTAGTTCCTCTCTTCCATTTCTCTCCTCCTGAAACTCCTATTACATTAGTGTTGGCATGAACTCTTGTCTCTTTTTTCTACAGACTCTCTATCTCCTGTTCTTTTGAACTACATTTGTAATGGCTCAATTATTGAACTTGCTAATTCACTCTTTAGCTATGTTTATGCTGATTATATTTTTAATTTCCAAGATTCATAATCTTTTCCAGAATAGTCTGTTCTCATTTCATGGATATCTCCATGAGAATATTAATGATAGTGTTGAGAAAGGCATCCATCCTAGACCCTGAGCATCTCTGAATTTCCTTGCTGAGTATGACAAACTTCTTGGGATAATCATCCTCTGACCCTGCACCTATTCTGTATCTAGTAACCTAGTCAATTAAATAGGTCAAGGCAACCACAGTGTAACTATAGTCACAATTACTCCCTAGGGAATAGATATTTCACTGCTTGCTATAAAAAGTCATAAGCTCTTAGCCCTGGGTTCCTTAGCTGTAGTGCAACTGGCTGTATTCATAGCCATGATCTGATTGTTCCATGGGACTTGGGGGCAGGAGAACTGATGCTACCATGCTTATGTTCCTGCTGTTGGCTGTGCTATGAGTAATAAACCATTTTGCACGGGTCCATTGAGTCTCACTGTCTACTTTTAGCACCTATGGAGTTGTGGCAAGCCAATCTACTTACTAGCTTAGTCATTTCCTTTGGAATCTTGTTGGTCCTTGTCATTTTCTATAGGAGAAATTTCTAATTTCAAGGTGATTTTTCTCCCTCTATTAAATGTGTCTTAATAAATTGGTTCTTTCCTTTGTTGGATTTCATGATTCTTGACAAGTTAGGATTTAAGTGTATGTATATAGGCCATTTCCACCTCTGTGGTGTGGGAGAGGATTGGGACATGCTGCCAGGTTCAGTGTGTTGGTAGTATATCTTTCTCTGCCTTTCCAGGCCAATAATTCACATTCATTGTTAACCTGGGGCAGTTGCCTCTGCAACTCTGCTGCCTACTTCTTGAGACAATTGAGAAGGTGGAGAGGCAGCCAGCTATAGTGCTCTAAGCTCAGCACCCAGGTAGCTGCTCTACAACTCCCTCATGCTCTTTATATTCACTGCTGCTGAGCTTGGAACAACTCCATAATACACTCTTCCATTAGTCTTCTCTTATGTGTGTTTTAGGCTGTGGCTTTCTCCATTAGTCTGATCTAAATTGCTTTCTGTTTTTCAGGGATTCTTAACATTTTCTGGCCCTCATCTTGTTTTCCAGCACTGTCATAATATATATCTCTATCTCTACATCTGTATCTAGTCATGTGCTGCATAACAATATCTTGGTTAACAGACTGCATACGGGATGGTGATCCCTTCAGATTATAATACTGTATGTGTGTGTGTGTGTGTGCGTGTGTGTGTGTATAATTACACTTTAAGTTCTGGGGTACATGTGCAGAATGTGCAGGTTTGTTACCTAAGTATACACATGCCATGGTGGTTTGCTGCGCCCATCACCCCATCATCTATATTAAGTATTTCTCCTAATGCTATCCCTCCCCTAGCTCCCCATCCCCCAACAGACCCCCATGTGTGATGTTTCCCTCCCTGCGTCCATGTGTTCTCATTGTTCAACTCCCATGTATGAGTAAGAACATGTAGTGTTTGGTTTTCTGTTCCTGTATTAGTTTGCTGAGAATGATGGTTTCCAGCATGGATGAAGCTGGAAATACCGTTTTTTTACTGTGCCCTTTCTGTGTTTAGATAAGTTTAGATACACAAATACTTACCATTGTGTTACAGTTGCCTGCAGTGTTCAGCACGGTAACATGCTGTATAGGTTTGTAGCCTAGGAGCAATAGGTTAATTTAGCCTAGGTGTATAGCAGGCTATACAATCTAGTTTTGTGTAAGTATAGTCTATGTCACTCACATAATGATGAAATTGCCTAACTGCATTTCTCAGGGTACACCTCTATTGTTAAGTAACACATGACTGCATAATGTTTATTGAAAACTTATCATGTACCAGACAGTGTTCTCAGTGCATAACATAGATTAACTCATCTGGTCCTCACAACAATCATTTACAGGAAGTTACTATTTTATTCTCATTTTACTGATAAGGAAATTATGACACAGAAAACATGCGTCTAGTAAGCAACAGAGCTGGGAGGGGTCCAGGCAGTGTGAATTCTTCTGACTCTCTCGTGAGACAGGTACTATTAGAGAGGTGCAGCTAAGTACAGGAGCAACTCTTCACTCAGATTGGGTGGACTAAGGAAGGCATTATAGAAGAGGTGGAATTTGATCTAGGCCTCTCAATATCAGAATTCAGTTTTACATCACAATTCAGCATAATGTCAAATTTCCCATTTCTGCTAGTGGCAGAAAACGATAAACTTGCAAAGTTAAGTTCAGTCAATTAATTCATCCTCCTTTGAGTAAATATTAAGCGAAATTTAGGGTTCACTTCTTCCCCCTTTACCTTGGGGATGCTATACTTTTCTGGGAGCAAAGGCTACGTGTTACCCTGGCACTAGGGTGTGACTGGCCTGAGTCTCCTCCTCTTCCTTGCTAGCCTCACTGTGTGAATCTCATCTGTCCCCTTCTTAGGGAGTGTCATGTCTAGCATCTGCAGTCCTGCTGTGGTTTCTAGATGTGTGGTCTAGTATTCTCTGGGAAAGACCTATCCCTCTTCAATTCTGCCAGCTCTCGCAAGAGCTGCCTTGCCTGTACTCCACCCCCTATGTTGGGAATTTTAGGGCTTTTTACTTTTTACTTTTCCCTAGAAAATTCTTATGTCCAAGGGATTCTGACATGTAGTCCTTGAGTTCATTTGCTACTGTTACCTACTGTTTGAGAGCCACATTAGCCTCATATTATCTAAGAAACCAGTGGACTCGGAGTAAACTCTAGCAAGTGAATGACTAGTTCCTGTGTTCCTAATGTTTTCAGATTCCCCTGTAACCTGCCTGAGATTTTTATCAGCACCCCTTTTCCTTACCTCAGCCAGAAGTGATATACCAGGTTTCTCCCCTGGTTCCCCAGCAGCATTTAAACCTAAGCATCAATGCTCTAATCCTCCTAATACCTGCCTGATAGTCAAAATCTTAAAGTACTTTTTGTCTTAAAGATGGTTATATGAAGTTAGGAATCCAACCAGGAAAACAGAAATCACTCGTGTATACATAACACTGGGAACTTAGTACTAAAATTGGGTATGCAGGGGATGAAAGAGGCTGAGAAGTCTATCAGTGGAAAGAAAGTGAAGTCCCACCTCATCCCAGACAAAGGCTCCTCCTAGGCTAGAGAATGGAGGAATAAAGCAGCTACCAGAGACCACCACAGTAAGTAGGCTTAGAATATGTGACAAATATTCTCGGTGTGTTCACAATTAGCAGAAATAAACAAATGAAGAGAGAAACCTCAGAAGCCCTGCCTTATATTCAAATTATTTGGCCTTCAATTTATTTCCTTGGAGCTATCTGCCTTTTCATCTCATTCTGATATCTTACTATCTTGACTTTGAGGCTTGCTTCACTGAATCTGTTTCTCATTTGATTGTTTTCTAGTTCAAAGCATTTGTAGGGAAATTTTCATGTTACTTGAGTTGTGTTTTCTTCTAGGGTAGATTATTTGGTGTGTGTTGTAGGGGTGGTTTGCATGCTATCATATACTCCTTTATTTATTTTGCTGTGCAAGGTTTACATAGTTGCTATATTGTTTCCATTCTACTAATGCTTATGTAGCTCTGTTCACACTTTCTATTTGTTCTGACATAGTGTACGTGAGATCTTAACCACCTTACCACTACTCTTGAGATTTTTTTCAAGAAGCTACAGTTTTATGGCATTTTATGTTCTATTCACTCCATTGTTTTCAGCATTTGACAAGGGGGAGAACTCAAATGAGGCTGTGCCAAACTTTGTTAGAATATCTGGCTTTGCTCTCTCTTTTGAGGTTTGTCATTTTCCAATGTCAAAGTTTGCTAGAGCTTATCAGAGGTGTTTCCCATTTCCACAAAGGGGATCTCTTTGGACTCTAGGTCTGCTCTCAAATCCAGCTTATAACTCAGGAACCTGAGTTTCCATCAGAGAGTCAGGACCTCTCTCTTTCAGTCCTCATTCCACTTACTTCTCCTCAGTAGCCATTTTCTCTTCTCATCTTTAGAATAAGATAAAGAACAGGATACGCACTCAACTTGTTTCTCTCTAGATTTGGGCAAATTATTAAAAATTATTGGATTACAGTGACTCACTAGTTACCTCTAAGGGAGGGGGTGGTAACATTTGGAGTCCTGCCATGCTGTGCTATTCTGTTCTGATCCAGAATCTTCCAGTTCTTTCCTTAGCTGCTACTTATTTTTTGCACTATGTTCCTTTGTTGTCTGGTTACTTCTAGTGAAAAAATTTCTCCGGGTTTTAGTACAGTTTTTAATCCATTCATTAGATTCTAGAAGATTCACCCAAAGTTCCATCAAGTGCTTACTATAATTTCTTGAGACATTGATTACCAAACTCTCAAATGTATATGAACATCAGAGTTAGAAGCCCTGGGGATCAAAGCAACCTGCTTAGGGGGGTCTCACTTGATGTACAATCCTTCACAAAGTCCTGTCTGTTGCCTGTTACTTAGGGCAAAGTCCAGGATGCAGATGAGTATCTCAGTAAAGGCTTCGAAGCCCCTTCTCAGTTTTGGAAGTGAAAAGTACCATGATGTCTAAGAAACCATATCCTTGTTAGATGGGAAGACTAAATGCAAGCGCAAAGGGAAACTGGCCCGAGCCTAAGATGCAAACACTCAGGGGAGGCCCTTGACAGGTTGCAAGCTGTTTCCCAGGCAATAGCAAGCTGTTTCCTCAGAAACAGGGACTCCAGCTGGCCAGCCCTAGAATGGGCTAGCTAGCATCAGAAACTTCACTCTTTAGAGATTATCTTATCTGTGATTTTTAATTTATTTTATTTGTTTGCTTTCTTTTTTTTTTTTCTTCATCAGCATTTTGATAAAGTCTTTTGAAAACTTCCAGTATGAGTCCATTTTGCTAGGGAACAAAAGGAAGAATTTGTTTCTATGCTTGGACTTATGCTTTTAGATGCTGTGTGTTGGGAGAAGGGGCCAGGATGGCACTGGAACACTGCTTATCTTAGAGTACATATAGGGGTGACCAAGAGGTTAAAAAAGAGAAATCTGTGGGAAAGACGAAACGAAAGAAAACAAGCTAGATCTTTTACTTCAGCCTCCCCCATCCCTACCCCCTCAAAGGAGATTCTTATTTCAGTGCAATGCTGAGAACTGTGGGTTTGGTTTTAGTAAGGAAGACTGATTTGCTTACAGATACTAACATTCTTTTCTACTCTGGAAACCAGACAGCAGTAATTATTCAGTCTCATAGTCTTTGTAAAAAATGGCAATCTTGGCTTTACAGGGCACTTTCCAAGTAATTCAAATTCTGTCCCTTATTTTATCTATATGGTTCCAATTTAGGATACTAAAAACCTTATTTCCAGGTTCATGAATTTAGGCTCAGCATGACTTTTAACATTTCAAAAGTTTTTCATTTGAGGAGGGAAACCAAGAGAAGCCTCCAAACTGAAGTAATTTTTTTTTTATGAAAAAGAACAAATAAAGGATTTTATTAGCTAAGACCTTTAAAAACTAAAAAAGAGCTACGACCATTGAGTGGGTCTGATTAGAACAAAACCCAATGGCTTATTCACAACAAAAAGCTTATATGCCATAAGTCATGCAAAAAGTGAGGTGGGAGAAGCCATGCTTTTCTTCAAATTTAAAACTGTTTGAATCCACCTTTCATATTTCAGATAAAGCAAATTAATCTGAGTCCAATTTAACCAAGTTTCACCAAAACCATCTAGAGCCTTTAAAATGTCTTCCCATCAACACCAAATGACAACTTTTGAGATTAAAGTTTTAGTGCACCTGGATGGCACAATTAAAAGGAAGAACAATGCCGGAACACATGGGGCACTCGACTCAAGGCTCTAGATCACTCACCCTCTTCAGTTCCATCTCTTGGTTTCTGATTGTTCCTGGGGCTGTAGAAAAAACCATTCTCTGAAAAGCTGATAAGCAATTGGATGAGAAAGAGGGAGAGAAAAATTGGCAGGAGAATCTGGCCCCATGCCCGCAGCCAGCACATCTCTCTTCAGACCTAGTGACCCTTGCCACTGGGAACCTGGCAGGCACCAGCTACAGTGTTGGACACTGAGACCCACTCAGGGACTGTGACCCACCACAGCCCTGGGTCCTATGGCTACCACTTTCAAGCCCTGGACCCCAGCATAATCAGCAGAACCTTAGAATCCCTAATGTTCTAGCTAGAATGTGGAATGTTCATAGCACAATCCTGGTCGGCACTGGGCTCCAGCTTCCTGGGCCCTGAATATCATGTACAGTAGGTCCACTGGACTTGACTAAGGCCTGTTTCTGCCAAACCAACACCTTTTCCCTACTACAGTGTTGTTTTTGGAGAAAGACCTGGATTCTAATTTCCACTACAAATATGTATACAGTAGTTGCATTCTTCCATGCTGCCTTTTCTCTGATGTAAATAAACCTACCACCCACGGCACTCCATGGGAGTGGTTGTGCGATCAGTGAGTGGTGAGGTCATGAAACTCACAGCTCTGTAAACCCTCAGTCTTGTCCCTAACTAGCCTGGTGATCCTCTTGACATGCTCTAATGCAGTTTCCCAAAGGTAAGTATGTTTTGGATAGTACACAAATGCCTTTTATTTTCATAGTTACGAATTTAATGAGTATTGGAAAAAGATAACCAGCAGTTACACTGATGCAATAGCAACAATATATGCTTTTAAAATAAATCTGTGCAAAAAAGGACAATTTCCAGAAATTTAAATAGTACACAACTCAAATGATATGGCAAAAATTGGGGTGGTGGTTCCAGAATGACTGAAATTTGGGCAATCTTGCCTCAGTGTGTGTGTGAGGGAAGGGGTAAAGGTGGGTGATGAAAACTTGTCCTTGACCAGGGATTATCTTGTTTTGTTTTTCAATAATGATGAGGTGGGGAAGATCGCTTGAGCCAAGAAGTTTAAGGCTGCAGTGAGCTATGATTGCATCACTGCACTCTAGTCTGGGCAACAGAGAAAGGCCTTGTCTTTAAAAAAATAAAAAATAATAATTAAAAAATAAATGATGGAGTTGTCCCACAGTAGTCCTGGCATATTGATCTGGACTGCCTCCTGAGGAATATGGGCCTAATATGGACAATAAAGATGGAGGAGGATAACATATGCAGAGTTCCAGGCTACTTTTTCTTTACCCATTTGCAATGCAGAGGACAGACAGAGGGTAATTAGCCATAACATAAAAAGTGCTTTTATAAACTGACAAAAAAAAGGACAAAAGATAAACAATAGGAAAATAGACATGGGTTTTGGGGAATCCACTGACAGAAAAGCAAATCTAAGTAGCCAGTGAATACATGAAAAAAAATAGTTTAAAAACACTAGTACTAGGAACTAGGAAATTATCAATTAAAAAAAATAATGAGCTATCACTTTGTAAACATCAGGTAGGCAAGCATTTAAAAAGAAAGCTAAGATATTGTTGATGAAGTTGTGGGGGGAAAAGGTACTCATAATTTTTGGTGGAACGGTGAATTGTTATAGTGTCTTTAGAAAGCAACCTTACAGCAGTCATTAAAATGAAAAATACACATATTCTATGTGCATATTGTTTCTTAGAGATCTGCCCCTCACTGCCTCTTGGTTCTCATGGTATGGGTGGAGTTCCAACTCTTACCTTGGAAGTAGAACATGAAAACTACACCTGAGCAAAGCAGGGCACAAAACTTCCCTGGCCACCATGCCTGGCTCAGGGGTGGGCACAGGACCTAGGCTGGCCTAATCCAAGTCAATCTCAGAGCTTTTGCTAGGAATGCTAGGATAAAGATGCCCATCTTCCTCTGGATTCAAACTTGAAAGTACCTAGTCTCTCTAGCTGCTAAAAGCTATCATAAGACTATGTAGAAGCTGGGCACATTGCCTCACGCCTATAATCCTAGCACTTTGGGAGGCCATGGCAGGCAGATTGCTTGAGTCCAGGAGTTCAAGACCAGCCTGGGCAACACCGTGAAACCCCGTGTCTACAAAAAATTAGCTGGCACGGTGGTGTGCACCTATAGTCCCAGCTACTCTGGAAGCTGAGGTGCAAGGATCACTTGAGCCCAGGAGGCAGAAGTTGCAGTGAACCAAAATTGTGCCACTAAACCCCAGCCTGGGTGACAGAACAAGACCCTGCTTCAGAATAATAATAATAAAAACAAAAGATTATGTGGAATATGGCCATGAAAATGCCCATATCAAAGCAAAATTGACTGACGGACTCAGCTAGTGTGCCTCAGATTTATCCACCATATTCATCCCAAAGCCATGCTTCCTACAAGCTACTCTCAGCCAAGACTAAACATGGAAGGGACACTAATGTGGGATACTTTTAGTGGGAGATTTTGGCTTGAGAATTTCCCATCAAGGCGGTCGAAACTTTCTTAGAATTGTGCTGCGATCTGAAACTCTACCAACCAAATTCTCCTCCTTCCTTTCTTCTCTCTTCTTCACCAGTGTCTGACCTGCATTGATGTTTGAAGGTTCTCACTTGCACTAGCTGCTTCCCCTTTATTTGTTCTAACTGTTTTCCCAGTAAACCTCTTGGACTTCTAATCCCATCTTAGCAGATCTCAAAGGACCTGAGCTAATACAAATGCTTATGAGAGTGTTCTGAGAGAACCAGTGGTAAGATAAAATTTTGAGACTTGTTTACTTACTATCCGACAGGCAAATAAGATACCATATTGTGCAATATGTAGAGAATGGATAGCTCCTAGAAAGAGATGGCACTACTAAAGACTTCATGGTGATGAAATGTTTTCTACCTAGGAAAACAAACTGGTAATAGGAAATCCCCTGGTTGATGTAATAATCAAAGCATTTGAAAGATACAGGGGACAGTGCCTACAAGAGTTGGTTGGTTAAAGAGTAGTACTGATGCTTTGCAGAGGGACAATGAGAAATCATGTACCTTTGATTGGCAGTTAAAGGTTAAGTATGAAAGCTAGAAGATATCTTTGGCAGCCCTTATCTCCTGTAGTGGAAAAGTAGACACAGTTACCAGCAAATGAGGATATGATAATTACAGAGCTCTAGAGACATTTAGATAATACCAGCCAGGCAGGGCTGTATGCTAAATGTCAGAGCTTTGGTTGGGAAAATGTAAAATCCTGAAACAGCTTCTGTGGTGAAACATTATTACTTTATTACTATGAGAACACCACTATCCCCATGGATGTTAATGGGCTCAGCTCTGTGACTGTCTCTACCGCCAGTTTTGGCCTGCAGAGGGAAGCTGCTGAATTTCTTAGTGATACTGGTGCCCTTCTTACCAGCACATTCCTGATAGCCTTGGTGAATGGATGGATACTCCTAATGTTGACTCTGTAGACCCTTCAGGAATCTAAGAACTTTCAGGTGTGACTGACCCTTATGCTGCAAAACAGAATAAGGGTATCTTAATAGATGTTCTCTCAGGAGCACCCCTACCTCATCTCTTGGCTGCTAGGCCAATAACCCTAGGGTTAAATTCAGTTGGGGACATGCTGGGCCTGATAAGGGAGGAAAGAAATTATATTCCAAGGTACAACTAGCCAATGAAGACAATTGATACTGAATTTTGAGGATGTTTGCACAGGGGGTTAGAATATGAAACTGAACAAGCAAGGTTTCTTTGACTTGGAAATACTTTTGTAGGACATGAAGTTTAATGGCCTGGTAAGACCCAGAGGATAGTGCAAACTCATTGTTAGAATGGATCTTTGAAGCCTAAGAAAGTGATCCAGCCCTGAGCAAAGTGGAAATGCCTGAGTTACCAAGGCAGGAGGAAGAGGAAGGAATAAAAAGGCTGAGAAGGAGAAGTAGGTTTGCTAGAGTGGCTATATTATGTGAGGTCAGAAAAACTACAAGATAACTATGTTCCAGGGGAGGGTCCAGAGGAAACACCATTCACCAAGGAAATTAGGAATGTGCTGGTAAGAAGGGCACTTGCATCACTGAGAATTACAGTAGCTTTCTTATGCAGGACAAGACTGATGATAGAGGCAGTCATACAGCTGCGATTCTTAATATCCAATGGGAATACTGGGGCCTCCAAAATAATAGTGATCAGGTCATGACACTTAAATGAAAGATGCCAGAACCTCACAATCAGAGGGGCAGTCAATGGAAGCTTGTCCCAAAGTAGGGTATGGAGATGGTTAATAGACCATGGGCATCTATCTCTAGGGTCAAATCAGAGGAGTGGCCAGCAAGGGTGATGTTTAACATCTACAACCAGAAAAGGGCAAGGATTGAGAAGTAGTAAGTAAGCTGAGGACAATGACCCCAATAAACAGTCATGATCCCTTGCTCACTATACTAGTCCATTCTCACACTGCTAAAAGGACATACCTGAGACTGGGTAATTTATAAAGGAAAGAGGTTTAACTGACTTACAGTTCAGCATGGATGAGGGGCTTCAGGAAACTTATAATCATGGCAGAGGGGAAAGCAAACATGTCCTTCTTCACATGCCGGCAGGAAGGAGAAGTGCCACACAAAGAGGGAAAAGCCCCTTTTAAAACCATCAGATCTCATGAGAACTCACTCACTACCACAACAACAGCAGCATGGGGGTAACCAACCCCATGATTCAATCACCTCTCACCAGTGCCCTCCCATGACATATGGGGATTATGAGAACTACAAGATAAGACTTGGGTGGGGCCACAGCCAAAGCATATCATTCTGTCCCTGATATTTTCCAAATCTCATGTCGTCACATTTCAAAACACAATCATGCCTTCCCAACAGTCACTCAAAGTCTTAACTCATTTCAGCATTAACTCAAAAGTCCAAGTCCAAAATCTCATCTCAGACAAGGCAAGTCCCTTCTGCCTATGAGCCTGTAAAATCAAAAGCAAGTTTGTTGCTTCCTAGATACAATGGGCATACAGGAATTGGGTAAATACACCTGTTCCAAATGGGAGAAATTAGCCAAAACAAAGGGGCTACAGGGCCCATGCAATTCTGAAATCCAGCAGGGTAGTCAAATATTAAAGCTCCAAAATGATCACCTTTGACTCTA